ACCGAACATGAAATCGATTAAGTGGGCATCTATCAGGTTAAACAGTATGTTTAGTGGAGAAATGTTTTGAGCACAGGAAAATACTTTTACCGCAAACATAGCCGGTGGCAGGCACGCAGCCAGGATTTTGATTTGCCCATGACAAAATGCTGTATGAGGGAGAGAGGGAAGAGGAGGTCCCACCAAATGGAAGGTTTGCGGGGGGGGGGGGGGGGGAGGAAGGGCAGGCCCCATTGGTCCCCCCCCCCCCTTCCCCCTGCAGATACGTACCTGCCCGATGGGTTCCTATCTGCCAAACAAACCTTTTCTATTAGCTATATAACTTGGGTTGGGCCATATAGACACTAATTAAAACATTCAGTTAATAAAGTGAAAATGAACATCTTTTTGTCATGTGTTTTAGAATTTCCTGATTACTTACGTATAGTCCTCTTTCGTATTATAAAACATGCGGCTGCCAGTGGAGCATAAAAAAAAGACTATGGAGAACGGGAACATTGTGTGGGCATATAGTACGCACAAGATTTATGAATAATTATATATAGGCAAACCACGAAATTCAGGTATCATCGCCCTGCTGGAAATGGCAGGCCTGTTCCATTTGAAATGCATAGCGAAAGCCTATGAGCATGAATGTGCAATTGGCGCCGATGAAAAAATCCGATGTTTTGCACATTGGTGCAACTGGAAATGCTGCAGAGAAGCCGCAGCACGGGGGAAGGTCAAAGAATCGGTTGAGGGAAAGTCAACTTTAGGGGGCAAGCGCCATGATGCCAATTGTGTCAATGTGCACGACACTCAGTTTGCTCATTACCGCTCATTGCAGCCAGTGGCGCTATGTGGCAGAGACATTGTACGGGAGATAGCCAAGAGCCATGCACTGCAGAGAAGTGAACTCGGTGCAGTATGGCAGTGACAATGCTCAATCGCCAAATTAGCACACCCTTGCAAAAATTTTCTATGGGACCGATAGAGATTTTTATGCGATCAATAGGATTTCATCGTACCGATGGGCATTTCTACTGGGCCGATAACAAGTTATATCGTACCAATACAGACTTCTCTTGTACCATTAGGAACTTCTGTGGGACAAGCAGGAACTTCTATGGGACAAGTAGAAACTTCTATGGGAACAACACGAATGTTTTCTGGTCCGGAATACAAGTGCCTATTGGTCTTTCAATAGGACCAATAACAAGTTGTACTGGTTAAACTGAAAGCTTCATTGGTGAAATGGAATGCATTTCGGATCGAGAACTTTTAATGGTCGACTGGGAATACAGAACATAAAATCTATTAAGTGGGCATCTATCAGGTTAAACAGTATGCTTAGTGGAGAAATTAGAGTTGTTATATACTAAAGTTTTATGTTTTGAGCACAGGAAAATAATTTTTGCCGCAAATATACCCGATGACAGGCACGCAGCCAGGATTTTGATTCGCCCATGACAAACTACTGTATGAGGGGGAGGGGGGAAAGGAGGCCCCACCAAATGAAAGGTTTGGGAGGAGGGGGGGGGCCCCATGGTCCCCCCCCCCCCGTGCAGATACGTGCGTGCCCGATGGGTTCCTCTCTGTCAAATAAACATTTTTTTTTAGCTATATAACTTGGGTTGGGCCATGTAGACACTAATTAAATAAAACATTCAGTTAATAAAGTGAATATGAACTCTTTTTTGTCACGTGTTTTAGAATGTCCTGATTGCGTACTGTCCTCCTTCGTATTATAAAACATGCGGCTGCCAGTAAAACATAAAGAAAAGACTATGGGGAACGGCAACATTGTGTGTGCACATAGTATGCACAAGATTCATGAATAATTTTATATAGGCAAGCCACGAAATTCAGGTATCATCGGAACTCTGCAGTTTTAGCGGTGTATTCTGTCCTTTTGTTTTCCAGGATGTTTCAGTAACAGTAATAGCGTAAACGATTGCACCAACTGGATTATGTATACACATTAGACTTTGCTCCGTTTTATTCAGTTTTACCTGGTTTCGGAGTGGAACGTTCTCGTTTTTGTATAAATTTCGCTCCAGAACCGAGCAAATCAGAGTAAAACCGGGTCAAAAACAGAATAACACTGACTCAAAAATCCTATTATCATCTTTCACGATTGGTCCAAAGCTCTCAGACTTCCGACGTCGGGACTTTAAAACTTTGGCGGAGTTGGCGAAAAAGTGCGATACTTCAGGCTTCCATTTTGCCATGTGAACGTATCCTGTTTGAGCCCTAGCAGTGGCTACGCGCTCGTTCTGGGGCGGCAGATCACGTGCACATTCTATCGTGGGCATGCTTTTTATTAACAGAAAAGAAAAGCCGGTAGTGCCGAATAACATCCAATAATTATTAACACCATAGAAGTCATTAAAAAAGCACATAAAATGCGCGCACACACACACACACACGAAATAAGGATGACCTTCCCGAAATGATGATTGCACCTTGTTTCACGCACAGTAAGTGTCAGGCAGCGCTTTCCACTTTGTAGTTGAGCAAGGAAGTTCCTTTTTGAAAGGCATTTTACGCGCTTGTTGGCAGTTTGGGCCTTTAGTTTGGCTTCTGGCTTCCCAATGTTGTAGTTTTCCTTGATGCCGGGAAGAGTGTACACTCCAGCAATGAAGTTTTCGAGATTCAGAAGCCCTTCATTTTGCGTCCAATTAAAATGAAGGCCAGCCGAAACAGGGTACGTCAGACTCGTTACATTCGTCTTTGGCAGTAGCCTTTTAGGAAACTTGGACAGGAAATCGGTCTTCAAATCTCCCGTCACTTTCACAATTTTATCACTTGTGTCTTCACTAACTGGCCCAGTACTGTGACCGCTTCTGGTTTCATTGGTACTACTTAGTTCACGGGGAGTTTTTGTCTCACCGTGTTCCGAGACAACCGAGCTTACAGAAACTGCTGTCGGCGACGTCGGTTCTGGTCCCTGGCCTGTTGTAGCATTTTTCAGGACACAACTTCGTCTCAGGACTGTTGTCCTTGGCAAGCTGGGTATACTTAGTGGCTCCAAGTATATTTTTTTGTTTGGGTTCATGGTCGCACAGCGCGACACCCTACGTGTCTCAAATCCAAATTTTAAAATTCGCACCGACGTCGTCCCGCAGCAAATGCAATTTTCTAATTAAAATGACAAATAAAAATTACTCCGTTATAAGTTTAATATATATTCAGTATTTACATTTGACAATTAAGTAATACTATAATTTTTAGAAACGTTTATTATTTTCTTAAGTGCATCAGTCACACTTGCGGGCTTGCGGGTTACACCACGTGACAATATAAAGTGAGCTGGAGTCAATAGAGTGAACAGTGGGGTCACCCGGATGCATAGCCCGCATGACAGATAAAACCAAAATAAGTTTTCAAAGTGCAATTTATGCAAATTTTTTGCTAAATTAAGGTCAATAAGTAAATTTTATAAGTATTTGTTTACTTCAGCAAACAAAAACAAGAGTTAAAATACGAAGTATTATAGTCACGTGATACATCCCCTGCGTCAGGAAGTGGCCCGACGTGATAAACCGAACGGTCCGGCCGGAGGACAAGGAAGCGTGGAAGAAGAACCGAAGCTGTCGAAGCAACGTTCGCGGGAAGTCTAACCGCTTGAAGCACGTTGCAGAGTCGAGACCAGTTGAGCGGCCGGAATTTTACGAACGATTATGCAAGCGTACGTCTTGAGGACGACCATGAGCCACATATCATCTCAAATTTCTGCCCGTCAAGCCTTGTGACGAAACGGAATCGGACTTCTTCAAGGCGCGGATCCTAAAGTTGTTTGGTAAGTTCTAGTCTCCACACGCGTTGTGCCCAGTCTAGTGACCATCTCCTTCTTTAAGCACAATATGTGGGAGTAACTCTCGGCGCCGGTTGTTTCAGGATCGCAGAGTGACGCGGAAACCCAGTGACAGTAAGCGGGTGCTAGTACCTCCGACGAGATGAGTGACTGCCCGGGAGGGCTGGAGGAAGCTTGTGTGAGACAGATAATTGTAATTTCATTTTCGCGCTTGCGAAGCAATTCATAAGACGTATTTTAAATTTGAGATTTTCTTTAGTTATGCCGTCACAAGTACAAGGAATTTCATTGATAGGGGTGCCGTGTGTTTGTTTTCATATGCCCAGAAACTAGGTAAAGGTTATGTGCTTTAACCATTTCGTCGTTTACTCTGAGACTGGGGGGTTTTTGAAGAGCAGAAGTAACAGAAAAAACATACAGGTCTCCAGACCTGTCTGTTTTTTCTGTTACTTCTGCTCTTCAAAAACCCCCCAGTCTCAGGGTAAACGACGAAATGGTTGACTTCCACCAGCTAGCCTGTACTTTGACTCTTTTCTCGTTAATGTGTTTTAACATTTTTTCTGTGCTGATAGGCTTAAGGTTAGAATGAATTATATCTGTCAAGGCGTGGCGCAGTTTGTGTCTATTTGGAGAAGAGGTATCTGTGTGCATGCGTGCGTGCATGTTTGTTTGTTTGTTAGTTCGTTGGGGTAGAGAGAGGAGATGAAGAAGAGGAGGAGGGTGAGGGATCACGTCGAATCATTCAAATCGTTAACTCCGACAGTAATGAGGTAAGAAGGATACCTGCTAGTTACACCGGTTCGGTTTTGTGCCAAACTCAAATTGCGTTTTGCCGCGTAAATATTGCTACAATTTTTTTTTCATCAACAAAATTAATTTTGAGGCATGCCGTTGACAAATAGGACCCCTGTTTTCAATCCCAGTCCAGGTTATTCGCGACTCCAGCGAACTATAGATGGCGCGCTGCTCAGGCAAAATTGGGACGAAAGAAGGTCGTTTTCGTTGTTCAGTATGCGGACCATCACAAATTCCTGCACTGCAGCATAAAATCGGTGTTACATTTGAATGCAAAGCGATTTTTCGACCCTAGAAACGTTCGTCTACTCAGTGCGTAGGAAGGACCCGGTGGAATCATTAAAATAATTACTGGAAACAATGTATGTTTCTATGCTGCCTACGAGAACCAAGCAGCGATAGCAGACGACAGAGTCGGGACAACCTCCTCTCCTGAGCTTCTCGGCGCTGCCGCTACGCGGCGTCGATTTCGCTGGAGTCACGAATATTGCGCTGGCAAATTTCCTGTACATAGTGCTGCTTCAAAGATGAACTGAAGTTTATGTCTTCTATGTGTGCATTGGCAATGGCATGTGGCTCAACAAGACTTCACACACGAAAGTTCTCAAATAGAAGAGGGAATCAATGTTCATCCGGTAAGGTTTGGTAATTATCTCCGCCACAGATGGCCTCCTTGGCGAATTGTAACCGGCAGACCTTCAAACCGCACAAAGGCTAAGCAAAGCCACAACTGGATGCAGCAAGACTAAAAGCTTTATAATATACTGTAAGGACTATGGCTTTATAATAAGCCTTTTATAGCAAAACATACTGATCTGAAAAGCGTTGTTTGTGGTTATTTTAAAGTGGTATACGGAAACTTTGTCGTATTGTATTAATTCTGGTTCACTGCACAGTTGAAAGAATTGTCTTCGTTTGCTGCCAGAGAAATATAGCTTGCGATGAACTAAATCAAAGTTATGACTGCTGGTGTCATGTACATATTCAGAACTTTTTTTTATTAAAATAATTGTAATCAAGTGTTTTTATGGGTTTTAGCACTGTGATTAAGATACGTCAATGTGTTTTCTAAGAAAGACTACTAATTTGCAGTTTGTATCTTCTCCTAAAATATTTTGTAGATCTGAGCATGTATTCATACCTGAATATGTGCCAGGCATTCCCCAGTATGTGTATAATTGTTTACTAGGCCTGTAAGCTTCCCCACTACATCATTGCCGTTATGTTAACGCTTCCCAGCTATTATTCGAGAGAGATAAGTGTTTCTCATGATCAATTAGGTTGAGATTGTTTAGCGTTAATGCTTTTGAGTCCCCCATTTTTAATTCCTGACAGAGCGCTTCAAAGTCGGTTTATTTTTGGTTTGCCGCTATTTATCACCACAAGCAAAACATCACGCCACTGGGATTAACCCGAAGCTCACCTCATGATTAACGACGCTGCCGTCCACTGTCTTAAGGTGGGCCTACGTTCATGGGTACTTGTCTAGTGGTTCTGGAGTTGATGTTGCTGAGATAACTGAGACGCCGATTTCTACGATGGCCTCTGTCAGCATCATGGTCAATTACAGCTGGCCCACACCAGGCCAATCAACGTGCTGGCCCGAACCAGGCCAATCAACGTGCTGGCCCGAGCCCGGCCCGGGCCCACAGTCAAAAGTCCGAGCCCATCCCAGGCCTGGGCTTTCGGGTAAGCCCAAGCCCGTGCCCAGTGGTATAATCTTTAATCCAATCGCCATATTGAGATAAAGACGTCAAAATTCCTCAGTTTAAATGTCGGAAGTGCCTCAATAAGAGCAGGTATAAATATTAGTAGCAAATTTAATGATAAAAAAACTGCGCCGACTTTACTCAACAAGATTAACAGTTTAATCAAGCGTTTCGTCTCCCATGCGGGGAACATCATCAGTGAAACCTTCAAGCAGGAATGAGCGAAAAAACTTCAACAATCTTATTTAAGCAAGTCCGCATAAACATCGGGGGAGGGGGCCGCGGTTGGAGTTGCAAGCTGATGAGTCACTTCAGATGAACCATGATTCCACCAACCTTCGTGGACCCCACCTTTGTTCACACGCCAGAGTGGACGCATTCTCAAAGTCGAAACTGTGACCCGTATTCCAACAATGGTCTACGAGTTCCGTCTTCGCTGTATTTGTTTAGGCGAGTGCAGCGCTTCCAGCCTGTCTCCCCAATGTAGGATGTGTCACAGTCTAGACAGTTCACTTTATACACAACACCGCACTGGGACTCTGGGGGGGTGTAATCTTTAGGTTTAGAAATGAAGTCACATAGTTTATGGTGGGGTTTGAAAGCTGCGCGGATATTCAAAGGGGCGAGGGCCCTGCGAATGGACTCAAAAGCACCTCTCAAATAGGGTATTGTTGCCTGCCCTGTCCTAAGTTGTCCATTATCCTGACTTCTTTGTCCCATCTGTTTGTGCGTGTTATCAATAAAACGTTTCGGATAATTCCGCTTCATCAGCAGGTCAACAATAACAGCATCCTCAGAAGCGCGCAAGCCGCCTCGGTGGCTCCGAGGCGAGAGCGCTGGCCTACGGATCCCCATGTGGCAGAGGCTTATTGCGGAGCAGGCGCCGTGTAACCGAGCTTTCAGTTGCACGTCAAAAGATCCCCAGGTAGTCCAAATTAATCCTCAGTCCTCCGCTGGGGCGTGCCAGATGCCCGTCGTTGGTTTAGCACGTAAATCCCCCAAATTTGACTTTTTTCTCAGAAGCGCGCAATTGAGGATTAGAAGAAATGCGTTCGGACCGGTGTGGTAGGTTTTTTACGACAGCCCTTTTATGTTCGACAGAATGATGCGAGTTAAAGCTTAAGAGGTTGCCTGTATCACAGCTTTGCGGTACACTGTTGTATATAAGCGACCGGTACTATTTCGGAACACATTAACATACAGAAAAGGCTTTGCACCGTTCTGTTCAACTTCATGTGTGAATCGGATTGATGATTCAATGCTGTTTAAAGTTAAATGAAAGTCACAAAAGGGACATGGCAAAGGCCACGCACGGACAAGAGCGAAGACGGAACTCGTAGACCATTCTTGGAATACGGGACACAGTTTCGACTTTTGAGAATGCGTCCACTCTGGCGCTTGAACAAAGGTGGGGTCCAAGCAGGTTCGTAGAATCATGGTTCATCCGAAATGACTCATCAGCTTGTAACTCCAGCTGCGGCCCCCTCCTCAATGTGTATGCGGACTTGCTTAAATAGGACTGTTGAAGTTTCTTTCGCTAATTCCTGCTTCAAGGTTTCACCGACGATGTTTCCCACATGGGAGACGAAACGTTTGATTAAATTGTTAATCTTCTTGAGTAAGTCGGTGCAGTTTTTTTATCATTATGATTCCCGGCTTTTGGAATATTTTTGCAGCACATTTAATGAAGAAATTGATGCCGATAAACACCTGCCAAGGTTGACTAAAAATAAACAGAAACATACAATCAATAGTTATGATTGCACTAAGCGGTTGCTATGTGGATGTTTTTTTATGTTCGACAGCTCAGCAAAGTCTGTGGATCTGGTTATGCTTCCTGTACGAGACAGATCACGAAGCGGTTGCTGACTGACCAGTTGGGGCGAAAATTTTTGTGGGAAGGACGCAAGAGAAAGTTGACATTCAGGAACCTTCACCTTGCTGAGTGCATCATAAGTAAGTAATCTCTGGAACAGTAGTGCAGATCGCTTCACATGGAACCAGATTTATGGAATTGTTGGTGTCATACTTCTGTTGCTTTCTTTTATCAGATGCAGTGCAGAGCTGCCATAAATGTGAAGACTTCAAGGTAGAAACCATGGTCACGGATTAACTTCGCCACGCACCTGCCTGACATCAGTCATCTCAAATGGTAAGCTGGTCTTATTAAGCTGATGTTAGCACAAAAATCAAACTTTTCTAGAACAGTAAGTATGGTGTGCAATTTCTTCAAAGCATAATTTCTATATGAGAGTATTTGAATGCTTTAAATACACCTTTTTTGGTTTAATTTGAGAGCAAATACTACAGGTGTGATCAGTATTGAATAATTTTAAATAAAACAAATTTTGTTTGGAGTGTTTCTCTAAGGAAAAATTTCATTATGTAATAGTACCTTATTATGGATTAAAGAGAATGCATAGACAACGAATTTTAAGAACACTGATATTTGATGTAAATCTAACAAACAAAAGTTGGCAATACAGTACACACATCCAGCATGAATGTGCTTTAAAAACAAGGCATAAAATACTTGTGATTTATTTACATCAGTTCCAATTCTTGCATATTTGAGTCACTTCACTTTGAACTTCACTGTTTTATTAGTTTTGTTTCATAGAATGGTAAACCACTGCTCACATATCTTTAACGTAACATTTTTTCGTTGCTTTTCAGGAACATTCTGCACCACAGGAGATAGAGATGTGAACTGCCTTAAGTGGGCCTTGAATGTGCTGAGCTTTTTATTATGTTTATCAGACATTTTTTTTAAGCAAAGTATCCTGCATTGTTCAGTAAGTATTTTTATTTATTTATTTTATTTATGACATACTGCGGACCTAAATGGTCCAAGCAGGAGTGAATACAGATCGTAAAATACACGACAAAAAACAGTCTTCAACAAAAAATATCAAAAAAGGCCACTGGGTTAAAATATACAGTAAATAACAAATGCAAAAATACAGGACAAGAAGCCTCCAAGAGCAAGATACACATTACCAGTAAAAAACCTATACGGTCATGAGGTAGGAAGAAGGAAGTGACTCAATGGGCAGGGAATTCCAGTCATTGATTGTTCTTGGAAAAAAGGAAAATTTGAAAAGATTGGTGCGAGCAAAGTACGGAGTCAGTGAATGTGGTTTGTGATGTCTGGTCTGTCTCGTAGCAATGGGTTTTAGATATGCATGGCGATTAATAGATAGCTTATCATTTGCAAGAAGAAACAGAAACTTTAGCCTTGCTATTTGCCTTCGTTCCTGCAACAATTCAATTTTGTTTTTCTGCATTAGAGAGGAGGGAGAATCTGATCGCTTGAACTTATCGTAAATGAATCTGACTGCCCGTCTTTGAACCCTTTCCAATTTATTTATGTCTTTTTTGGTAAAGGGATCCCATACAACGCTGGCGTATTCCAGTTTAGGTCTCACAAGCGTGTTGAACGCTAACAATTTTACGTTAGGGGGTGTATTTTTCAACTTGTGTCTAATGAGGCCTAGCTTTCTAAAAGCAGCAGATGTAATGTTGTCGATGTGTCTTGACCAGCCCAAATGACTATCAATTGTCAGCCCTAGATACTTGTAATGGTCTACCTCAGAGACGTTATAATCTTTTATTTTGTACTGAAAGGAGAGGTACTTCTTTTTGTTTGTGATTCTAAGAAAGACAGTTTTCTCGAGATTCAATTTCATTTTCCATTGGTAGCACCAGTCTTGTAAAGAGTTTAAGCTTGAGTTAAGTGCGAGTTGGTCATTAGTACACAAAACATCTTTGAACAATACACAATCGTCCGCAAATAAACGAATGTTCACTCCTGGGTCCACAACAGAAACAATATCATTGACGTATATCAAGAACAATAGTGGCCCAAGGACACTTCCCTGGGGTACACCGGAAGTCACATCAAGCATCTCTGAGCAACCAGAACCAACCTCGACATACTGTCTACGACCATGTAGATAGGATCCGATCCATTTAACGATGGCTGAGTCAAGACCAATACTTTCCAATATAAAAAGCAGTTTACCATGTGGCACTCTGTCAAATGCCTTGCTGAAGTCTATGAATACGGCATCTATCTGACCAGATTTATCCAAAGTGGAGGCAAATTCGTGCACCGTGGTGACTAACTGTGTCACTGTTGAATAGCCCTTTCGAAATCCATGTTGAAACTCGGTTATTAAGTTATTTTTATCAATGAAGTCAGTTACCATATTTGAAATTATATGTTCTAGTAACTTACACGATGTACACGTAAGCGAGATTGGCCTGTAGTTGCTCAGAGATAAGTGGTCTCCTTTTTTAAACACCGGCACAACACGTGCTAAGAGCCAATCATTCGGCAGAACTCCCGATAAAAATGACGTGCGGAATATCACTGTTAAGAAGTGTGCTAAGGGTTCCGCGAAACGACGCAGAAAGGCATTGGGTATCTTATCAGGCCCAGGTGACTTTTTCGTTTTCAAGTTCAATAACATGGAAAATACTCCTGCAAGCGATATGCAATCAGCATTCAGGTAGGACCGCTCATGATTTTCACACTCGTACGTTTCAGCGTCAGAAAAAACTGACTGAAAGTATCCATTAAAATGACGAGCGATCACTATGGTGTCATCAATCACTGTACTGTCAACACATATTTGGTCGATGGGTTTTCTTTTGTTGCTTAGGTAGCTCCAAAACTTCTGAGGGTCGTTTTTAATAAAATTAGGCAGAGTATTAGAAAAATAATAATCACGAGACTGCTGAACGTGCCGTCCTAGCTCGTCCTGCATGTCCTGAAGGCGACCGTTCTTTCTACGTTTAGTTTTTTTAAGGCGTTTAATCCTTCGCTTTAAGTGAATTATTTTCCGATTCACCCAGGGGTGAGCCCTATTAACACGCTTTTTCTTACTGGGGACAAAGTTATCCAAACAGTAGTTGCAAATAACCTTAAATTTGTTCCATAAAACTTGCACGTCTGAGTCGTTAAAACTATCAAGTGCCAAATCCAGATAGTCCAGAATACACTCATCATTGGACTTTGAGAAGTCTTTAATTTTCTTAACTACACTTTTCCGTTCAGGTGACTCTTTCGCTGAAGTACAACAGAAATAAACAAGTTTATGATCCGAGATCCCCCTCTCGACACTGACCGTATAATCAGATAAGCATCTACTAACAAAAACGAGATCAAGGATAGAGCAGCTCGAGCCCTGCTCTCGCGTGTTTTCGGTTACAACCTGCTGTAGATCATAGGCAAACATAGTGTCAAGAACAATCTCACTGTCCTGACATGAGTTAGCGGACAAATTGGCCCAATCAAAACCCGGAAGGTTGAAGTCCCCAACAACTGCAAGTTTATTGTTCCTGTATGAGGATATGTGGTTGTACAGTTGGTTTAGGAAGTCTGGTTGAGAATTGGGAGGTCTATAAACAGCGTACAAGATAATTGTGTTACCCCAGCAATTCAGCTTTAAACATAAGCTTTCATGCTCTTCAATCTGATCTAGAAGCGCGGCATGAATATTATCTTTCAGTATTACAGCAACCCCCCCCGCCACGCGATGGGCGGTCTCTGCGGAATATGCTGTAGGATGGTGGAATGATACTATCATTATTAATGTCCTCGTGCAACCATGTTTCCGTTATTACCGTAATATGGGGATCATAATTCAATAAGAGAAGTTCCAGTTGGTTAACCTTGTTCACAATGCTCCGTGCGTTTATGTTTAAAATGCGGAGTTGCTTTGATTCTGGAGTACATGGGCGTCATTCATGCGAACGTGGTTGTAATTGTGGCAGCTGAACACGGGAGTTTGCGACGTCATCCCAGATATACCAGTCATCATTTATACGAAGCTTGTCATGTACCAAAAACACTTTTTTCCCTTGGTCCTTATCGGTCTTAGCGCTCAACCAAAGTGCCCGACGTTTTGCTAACGTGCTTGGTGAATAGTCGTTGCAAATGGATATCCGTGTATTTTTTAATTTTTTGGCATTGCGAAGTATTGCTTGTTTTTCGTTATAGTCCTGAAAGAACAAGATGACAGGCCTTTTGTCACTAGGTTTACCGAGCCTGTGAATCCCTGAAATGGAAGTGCAAGTTACACCTAGTATGCCATTCAGGACCTCTGTGATCACTTTACTCTTAAGCTGTGCTTCCGTTTCATCTTCTGTTTCTGCTATCCCGTAAACGACTAGATTTGATCGACGGCTCCGATCCTCGAGATCTGTAATTTTCTGAGTTTCAAAAAGAACAGTCCTTTCAAGATTTACGAGGCTACTTTCCAGCGCCTGAACTCGTTCCGTTTTCTGCCTGAGCTCGTGAAGAATTTGGTCAAATTCAACAAAACTGGCGTTAATTCCGCTTATCATGACTTCAGTTTTACTTTGTTGTGTTTTTAACTCTGTAATTTCTTTGTGGATTGCACTCTGTCCGTTCATTATTTGTTGAAACATCTCCTCAGTCGTAGGGCCAGGATTGGTCTCGACATCACCGCAAACAAGTAATTTGCATGCATAGAAACAATCATACGCAATGCCAATACAAGTTTGTGGGCATGGCACAACAATGAGCATGAGAGTATTGCTCGCAAAAAGAGAGGTTTTGTGACCAACCTGTATAAAAAAGAGCGTTGTCCTAGTTGACGTCGTGCTCTTGTCGCTTTCGCCGAGCCCACTGAAGATGAATTCCTGGGTTAGTCCTTTTGTAGGCGTTGAAGCACTTGACGTCACGAACCCAGAGGGCAGCACTTCTGCGACTGGCGATTGTAGAGACACTTAGTCATCGTTGGCGGCTTGCTTGTCGCTTCCACACGTGCTGTAGTCGATCGGTGCTCCAAGATAAGAACAGAGCAGGGCCTGTATAAAAAAGAGCGTTGTCTTAGTTGACATCGTGCTCTTGTCGCTTTCGCCGAGCCCACTCTTTACTTTATTACTATATATTACTAAGTATACTAAGTATACTTTATTTTGAAAACCTCATGCTGTCTATGCAGCATTGTTCAAAAATTATACTTTATTTTAAAAGCATCAAGCACTGCTCGTCTGTCTAACAGTAACAATAAAGAGTTAATGGTGATTTGTTTGGCACTGCAACTTTTTCTACAGAACGGATCTGCATGCCTGACAGGCTGGGCAGGAATTTAGTGCGCTACTCACGTTCAGAGTTACGCTGCAAGACTGCAGCGGCATCTTTTGCCATGCAGTCGGTGCTACAGCTCTCATAAAATTCTGGTGTCCTCGTCACTAGAGCATATGACTACTGAAGCCTTAGACTTCAGTAGTCAATTCCTCAGGGCCGTTCGTCATAGCTTATGACAATGTTTGTGTCCCGTATTTCAGTTCTCCCGCATGTGGCGAGGTCCACCTCACTAAAACGAGTCAGCATCAGTAGTGTCGCCTTCCTTGTCAGTGTCGTCTGTACTGATCCTGTGGTAAAGCTTCTGAGCTTGATGGTGAAAAAAAAACTTCAATATAAAGAATGTCTGCTGCGGGCCTGATTGCTACATTATACATCTGTAATGCGCCATTTGGGTATACATTGAGAGCATGCACGGGCCATACAGCAAATCTGCCCTCTGAGCTCTTGTTTTGTAAAGAATTCGACTCTTATCCGTTTAAATTTTTCTGTAGGACAGTTTACACGCTATATGCTAGCATAAAATGAAGGCTGCTTAGGCACTTCCTTGCCCTCCTGGCATAGGGCTGGTCCCTATACCAGGAAAGGTAATAT